TGTAGAAATATTTCCTTTTGATTTTTTGGGGGAAAATAATATCATTTTAGAATATTTCATTTTGAAATTTGGTGCCTTTTCATTTAATAAAAAGGAGGAAGGGGGAGGTTAAGAAATTGAAATATGGTATGGGTCTGTTGTGACATTTCCATTGATGTAAAATTTATTTTTTTGTTTTTGGTTTGTCAGGAAAACTTTGGGTCAGCCCAAGAACTAATTTCTTTTTTGGCTTAGCCAATGAACTGAAAAATCAATTATTTGCACAGCTTCGGTCACAACAGAGAGTCTGTGGCAGAGCCAGGGAAAGAGCTCCAAGTCAGTGCCCTAACCTCGGCAGTGAGTTCCAGTTTTATCCTCTCCATCTGGATTATAGCTAGACACATTACAGCAGAGTTTAAAAAAAAATCCTGACAAAAGTAGTCAGCTCTCAAAAGCACAAAGCACTTTTTATTAGAAGATTAACACTTCAGCTTTTGGAGTGGGATGGGAATAGGGTCTATGGGGATCCTTCATATATATTTGTGCCTTTTAACTTCCATTCTCAAAGGCTTATTGCCACCAAAGAAAGACAACATATTTTAGAAAAAGCTGTTGATACCACTTAGAATTAAGCTTGCCTGACACTTCCCATTACATGATCCTGTTTCCAGTTGCTTCAAATTTTGCCAAACTTTAACTGCTTCGCTTGAAATTTTCCCTGTTGGCTGTCTGCCTTGGGCGGGCTTTTGGTTTTTTGTTTTTAATTTCAAAGTTCAGCCAGAAGAATTAATCTGTTTCAAACTGTTCATGTTGAATTCTTGGGGACCTGTCTTTCCATGTGCTAACACTGTCTGTCCTTTGGAGCAAGGACTTAAACATTTGGCCACATACGGCCTCTAGGTCAGGGATGTGCCTCGTGATGCCTGCTGAACTTCTGCCCGCATTTGGTCAAGTTACAAACAGAAAAAAGAGCTGCAGTTTGCACTTGCTCAGTAGACATGAGCAAAAGCTTCCCCAATTGCATGGAGCATGTTGAAGCCTTGGAGTGCCCATACTAGCCATGTGCCACAACCACGGAGCTCCTGGGCAAGCTTCACCCCATCACAATTCCTGTGTGAGGTCAGCCTTGCTCCTGTGCTGCCCCACAAGCCGGCTGAGTTTTATCCAAGCTAGGGCTGTAGGGAAGGATTCAGGAGGAGTCTTCTAATAATATCTGCTCCAGGCTTGGGTGGAGGTAAGCACTAGAATGGGAGCTCTTTTCTGTGCTCTCAGTGGTCCCTGGGGTCAGTCTAAGTAGCATGGAGCAGGAAGCCATCAGATTTGCATGCAGAGGGAGAAAGGCTGGTTCAAGAGGAGGAGATGGGTATGAGTGTCTGGTGAGATTAGGATGTATTTACAGAGGTGGGGAGGGAATCTGGGATTGGAAAGAGAATTGGGCTGACTGGGTGAAGAGCCTGGGGCCGAGAGGTGGGGAAGACTGGGAGTAGCTGAGCAAGGAACTCAGGAGCTATGAGGAAGGCTGGTTCCTAGCTCTCAAGGGCAGCATTGTGCCTAGGCTAGAGCAGTGGATTGGATGTCAAGCATGAGTGACTGGTGCCTCCTGAATCTGGGGTGGGGGGGCACCTGCAGAAGCTGCTGACGGTGGCAGCCTTGTCGGGGGGGGGGG